CTCTCTCTTTCGCTCTCTCTCTCTCTCTCTCTCTCTCTCTCTCTCTCTCTCTCTCTCTCTTTCTCTCTCTCTCTGTCTCCCCTCTCGCTCTTTCTATGTAGTCCACACCCTCTCCCTCATTTTATCGTCCCTCATCGGCCTATCGTTCTTTCTGCTTCCAATGTCAGTGTCTACATGGGCCCTATCCAGACATTTAGCTTCGTTATCAGTGGAAAGCTTGGTAATACCATTCATCATACTGATAGACACTGTGGCGTTACTCCCACCGATTAAATCATGCACCGTATTGACAGATACGTCTATAATACGTCTTTTGATATCAGACCCGCGCATATCGCGCCGGCAAATCCCAGCCGACGTTACGTCAATACCATCGGCAATGGCATCGGAGCATCGTATATAAAAATGCGCCTCGAACGTTTTCCTAATGCCAATATATTAGACTTCGCAATGAGAGTCACAATTGTGAGATTGATGCTGGCTGCATGGGTGTGTCAGATATACGGCCTCAGGAAGAAGCATGGTCGTCTGGAATAGACGCGTTGGTGCGCTCCGTTGTTGAGCAGAATTCAGCCTCTTCCCCTTCACCACACACCCTGCACGCGGACGCGCGTACATCTGCGCGAATTAAATAAAAGGCGGGAATCCGGGTCGTGCTTACCAACCTGTTCCATTTATAAGCACAAGACACGCGTGGGCAGCAGCCAGTCTTCGTTTATCCACGAGGCTTTCGTAATTCGATAACACACGCGCGTGGCAAAGTCACGTCGTGCTTGATTAGCCGTCGATTAGACTTGTTAGAGCCCCACGTCTATCGTTCAGAATCGCCGCGCTACGGCTCTACCGTCCGCCGTCAATGCAAAGCGAGCTGTCGTCGTCATCGTCATCATCGTAGTCGTCACCTTTATCATCACGTTCGCTGTCGTCGGCGATGTCATCGCCGTTCTCGTCATCTAAAGTTTCATCGTCATCGTCATCGTCATCGTTGCCATCGTCATCGTCACCTTAATTGTCACCGTCGTTGTCGTCGTCGTCGTCGTCGTCGTCGTCGTCGTTTTCAGTTTCAACGTTATCGTCACCGTCACCTTTATCGTCGTCGTCGTCTTCGTCGTCGTCGTCGTCATCGCTACAGTCTCGGTCGACACCCCATCTGCATTTATCCTAGTTTGAATTCATCCACCACCGCCTCCGCTGTCGCTGTCGCTGCCGTCGCTCCCGCTCGCACGCGTCTTCGCCATCGATTTTCTTGCTCCGCCGATGATGCTATATGTGAATCCGAAAAAAAAAGATAAAAATTCAGCACGCCGCCGTTCCCTACGGACTGTCGGCGTGTTTGTCCTCGCCGCACGCAGGCCGTCTGCAGCTGGGCATGAAATGGCGGCGACATTGTAGGGACAGCGGGAGAATAGGATCGAGAAGCGAGAGCGACAGAGAAAAAAGAGAGAGATAGAAAGCAAGAGCGAGAGAGAGAGGGAGGGGGGATAGAGAGAGGGGGAATAACGAAGGGAAAAAGTGAGTTTGCAGCAGAGCAATATGTGGAATAAAAACAAAAAAAGGACAAAGTAAGAGAGAAAGAGAGAAGGATTAGGAAAAATGCCGAGAAAAAATGTTAAGAGGGCTATGTTTGGAAGCGTAAGCGTGGTGGGGGACGAGAGAGAGACAGAGGACGGCATTCACGTGCGTAGTAGAGACGCTTATTGCAGGAGATTGGAATTGCTCGCGTCGCAGCTAGGGACGGAAGATGAATAGAAGAGCTAGACAACAGGGCATTACTAAATAGTTTAGCAAGGCTTACACGAGGGTTGTCGCTAAGCTACAGTAACTGATGTCGCTCCAATGCTGTTTTAAAAGCACCTCCCTGACATAAAGTGGACGCGGAAATGTGCTCGTTTGGTTTCTACTTGTGTTGTCACGGCAGGCTAAATTTATTAACACGCGGGCATGCAGTTGAAACTCGCAGTGGACGATAACATAAACTAGACATACAAAAACGCTGCGTGGTAATATTGCGGTATTGATTATCGATTTCCAATTTGTTATCCGAATGGATACAGACAGCTCTCTCAGAGCTGCGTCGCGGATTTTTGTGGGTAAACTACAGGTAGTTGATTGATCGCCTCTAAGCGCCAGGGCAACAGCTTTCGCTTTTGTACGACATTAAATTTTTACCTCGCAAATTGATTCCAAATATTTGCCTTGCAATCGCGTGTGTCTAATATCCATGGCCAAAGCGCCAGGGCAACAGCTTTCGCTTTTGTACGTACGTGGATGATGGTACCTACGTCCCTCTACGTTACGGTGCTGATGGTACCACCCTACGTACTCTCTCCTTTACGGTAAGCTGATAGTAGCCCACGCTCCTCTCCTCCCCCACCAGTACGGTCTGCTGAATATAGGCCACGCTCTCTGCGCCTCCTCTCTCCCCGCTCTCACGTACGCGTGGCTGATGGCAGCCCGCGTCTACTACCGTGGCTGATGATAGGCCATCTGCGTCCTCCTCCACGTCACGGTGGCTGATGTAGCCACGTGCCCACGTACGGTGGCTGATGTAGCTACGCCCCGTACGGTTGCTGATGATACCACTCCCACGTACGTTCTCGACGGTGCCTGGTAGTATCCCACGCCCCATCTGTACCGGTAGTCTGATCTAGCCAACGCGTCTTTCCCCCCTCAATACTGGTCTGATGGCAGCCAGTCTAACTACGGTGGCTGATGATGAGCCACGCCCTCCCACGTAACGGGGCTATGGCCCACGTCTACGTACGATATGTTTGCACCACAATAACCCACCCAGCTCATCCAACCATCGTTAAAATATCTAAACCGCGTTCAACTGTACATTCGCGAATAACCATCCCATCTACATCAACATGTAAAACATCATAGCACGCTATACATACCACCGCCCTTCCGCGCGCGCACGCGCTACATACAAAACCTGATCTACGTAGCACCACCCCCCCCCAGAGAGAAGAAGAACGAGAGAGACGAAAGGCACGCGCGCGCAGATGGAGATGGCTCAGGTAACCTCGCACTGGTTACAGTCCATCTCGCGGCTTCACGGGCAATTGCTAGTCTCGCTTGTCATCCATCACCGTTCCTGTCACGTGATTTCGTGTCGCTGTCGTGAAACCGAGATACTTCTAGCCGATGGCAGGGTGTACGGCAATTGATAGCGTCGACTGGACATGTACACTCGGTAATACCATGCGTGTTCTCTAGGCGGCGATGCTCCCAGACACTGTACCACGTGCACTGATCATTGGCTATTCCCTCTCTCACACTGGCACTCGGCCGCTTGTAGCAGTACTTCGATAGCGCACTCAACTAGTAGTAACGCGGATAAATAGATGCTGCTCTCGTAGTATTAGTATAGATGCCATGGCGAATGCATTTGAGCTAATTTCTGAACTAAATTGGGTATGTATATGTTGAACTTAAACCAAATCCCGAAAGTGGTATAGACGGCAATAACCTGTTACAATCTCCGGCCAGCAGGGGCCTGTACCGCCACCAAGGTGGGCTGTTCAATTTGCACATATCAGAACATCTCTATGATCAGGACTTTATGGCAGTAACGCATATGCCTAGGCTTACGCGTGTGCAAAGTTTCACAATAATAACCAACGTGGCTATTTTTATGTGCTTATCCGCTGCACTATGATACATGTCAGGATCCTTACCTTCTATCTTCATTGATAGATACGTACTCATAGCGTCGTGGTTTAATTCATATAATGACAATGGTTCTTAAAAGATTAGAGAATTATGATTCCGGTTTTACGTCCAAATACTGTATCATTATCACTAACAAACAATTCAATAGTAATAATATACTCGGCCTATCTCTCTCACATATAGGCCTCCTGGTAAATTCACAAATATTAACCTTTTTGTAATAGGTACTCTGAATAATAGATTGAATCTATCGGTTCCTTAAAACTCCACTTGATATTATTCACGCATAACTATCAATGAAATGGTACTGTTGGGCGGTAACAGAGAAATGAATAACAAAACTGTACACACCGAAGTAAAAACAAACTTCGCGCCTTTGTAGCACGACCGACGTCCAACCTTATAATCGTAATTTATCACAGACAAACTAAATGACTAGTGTACCCTAAAGTCCTAGCATTGACACAGAATGATCAGTGTCAAAAGTACAATACACTCTG